ACCTCAGAAATCCTACTCCGAGATCAAAAGATATGGTCGGGCAATTCCCAAAATTATATGAACCAAAGTACCTGTGCAGTCACAGCCCCGAAAACATAGAGATAGGAGAGGACGTTTGTGGAAACAGTACATGTAGTCCTTGACGGGGTATAATACCAATCTGGTTAGAACTTTAAGGGCCGTTCTCACGAACCGACGAAAGATACGAGATCTAGATCCTCTTGCATTTATAATCCACCAAATGGAATCCCAATCCTCATCTGAAAAATGTGATACCACCATCCTCCTCCCATTTTCGTCTGTACAAAGGGGGAGCATGAAAAAGACATGATCAAAAATTGGATGATAAAGATTTGAGATAAGACCCCTACCCCTGGGAGAGTCACGGCTGCTGATACGTTCAAAAAAGGAAATCGCGGAGAGGATTGGGGTAAGGCCAAAAGTGCGCCTTAAAAAAGTTGCCTAATCTGTCTATAACGAAGGTACTCACGAAGAGGAAAACATCAAATAACACGCGCAGGCATATCGAAGGTATTGTAAGATCCTCCTCTTTGGAAATCAGATAATATCTGAATAAAAGATCGATCATACCACCAACGAAAACATATGAGGGGAAGAAAAGGCTACAACAAAAGTAGGATCACCAAAAAATGACACACAATTTCCCAATTTTTTTTAATTAAATAAGCATTTATAATTTTGTTATATTAAATAGGTGCATATCATATTAATAAAATTGGAAAGTTCTGTTGATCATCAATTTAAAAATGTATTTATCTTTTAAAAAAAAATCATATTAGTGGTCCGCGGGATTTTAAAAATGATGAATTTAGTGGTCCGTTGAGGTCTGAAAGGTTGGCGGCTACTGCTCTAATGATCACTTTGTCACTATTGTGTGTGCCTGACCTAGCAAGCCAGCAGATGGAGCCACAGCACACAGCGGGGGGATGAAAGACACAATCAGAAGTATTTTGGATGCTGAAGATTTTATAGGCTGGTAACGCCTTTAAAATCACAATCCACTTTTAGATGAAAACTGGGTCATTTTTTTTACTATTCTTTTCTATTCTTTTACAGGCCAAACTATATTTTTTTTCAGTCTGTTCAATTTACTTCTTTATGCACAACAGAGTGGCATTTTACCCCTTTCACTGCCATCGATTAGTATGCCATATGTTCGGTGACAATGCAGGGTTTTACTGTGTGTGCTCCTGGCAACTTTGTACAGCTGGTGGTGGATGTAAATCAGACAAGCCAACTATCCCAGCTTTTAGATGGAAGACGATCTGATGGCTGCAAAATTGTCTGATCACTTCCATGGAGACCCTGGTACTTTCACCACTCCCCTCCACACAACTCCCGCCATATTTATCAGGCTCCACTATCCACTTGTGAGCCTGGCGACCTAGATAGGAGGGGTGACACCAGGTAAAGGGGAGGGAGGAGGACTAGTGAATATCTAGAGTAAGGGCTTTTAGGAAAATTGCCGGTGGATATTGGATACCAAAGTTCATTGCCAGTTCATGACCCTGTTATACAACATGGAAACGTGTGTATTGTTCTACTTTTATTATTCTTTTTCACACTATAAAATAAATACGAAACACACTGATTTGACTATGCTTGGATAGCTTATTTGGTCTGCGGAAAAAAAAAGAATTATATACAGTATCTATAAAACGTCAGCAAAGATCAAATGTCATTGTGTTCACTACTAAAATCAACATCAACTTTTCTCTTTTACATTGTAACATAAACTCAGCAAGATTTGAATGTGGTGGAACAAATTGAATCGGAGATGCACAGTTTGTTTGAAGAGGTTTTGACAGGTGAAAACAATTCTTCTTTTTTTTGCTGAGAAAGACACACAGACAATAAATATTGTCAACAACACTGCATTGACCTCAGTCAAAGTCCTAAAGTCCTCTCCAGTGCTTGATCCCTTATGGTGGAATCCTTTAATACATTGGACTCCTCATGTTGCTTTCCATAGACACCTATTTACCATTGCAATTAAATGAATGTCTTTGGTTGATGTTTTTTTTTTTAAATACCTGCTGGTTGCTGGTCTTTTACTGTCTTTCATAGAAAGTCAACATCTCCCAGCAGGATTTCCAGGGCAGCTGAAGTCGTCCTTTTCTTCCGCTCTTACTCTTCTACTTCTTGGATCCGTGTTGGGGAATCGTATCATTAGTTTGCCATTTCACCGTGATAAATGTTCTCAGAATGTGACAGAGAACTCAATGTAACCATTAGAGATGAGCGAATTATTCAAAAAATTCGATTCGGCTGATTCGCCGAATTTGCGCGGAGAAATTCGATTCGATGCGAATTTATTCGCTGCAAATTTAACTTATAAAGGGGTGTTTCTAGGCTTCAGAGGCTTTATATTAGTGCAGAAACACTGTTACCTTTAATTTAAATGCCCTTGGAGTCTGCTGGGAAGAGAAAATAATACTGTCAGTCAGTATGACATGCAGATGAGTGCCGTCGATCTTAGAATCACCGCACACTTCACTCATTTGGGCAGTCACGGGGCACGACGAAGAAGAAGAAGAAGAATGAAAAGAAGAAGAAGAAAGAATGAAAAGAAGAATGAAAAGTAGAAGAAGAAGAAGAATGAAAAGAAGAGAAGAAGAATGAAAAGAAGAATGAAAAGAAGAAGAAGAAGAATGAAAAGAAGAATGAAAAGAAGAAGAAGAAGAATGAAAAGAAGAATGAAAAGAAGAAGAAGAAGAATGAAAAGAAGAAGAAGAATGAAAAGAAGAAGAAGAAGAATGAAAAGAAAGAAGAAGAAGAATGAAAAAGAAGAATGAGAAGAAGAATGAAAAGAAGAATTAAAAGAAGATGAAAAGAAGAATTAAAAGAAGAATGAGAAGAAATGAAAAGAAGAATGAAAAAAGAAGAAGAAGAGATGAAAAGAAGAAGAAGAAGAATGAAAAGAAGAAATGAAAAGAAGAAGAAGAATGAGAAAAGAAGAAGAATGAAAAGAAGAATGAAAAGAAGAAGAAGAATGAAAAGAAAGAAGAAGAAGAATGAAAAGAAGAATGAAAAGAAGAAGAAGAATGAAAAGAAGAAGAAGAAGAATGAAAAAGAAGAATGAAAAGAAGAAGAATGAAAAGTAAGAAGAAGAAGAAAAAAGGAAGAGAAGAAGAATGAAAAGAAAAAATGAGAAGAAGAATATGAAAAGAAGAATTAAAAGAAGAAGAGAAGAAATGAAAAAGTAGAAGAAGAAGAATGAAAAGAAGAAGAAGAAGAATGAAAAGAAGAAGAAGAAGAAGAATGAAAAGGAAGAATGAAAAGAAGAAGAGAAGAATGAAAAGAAGAATGAAAAGAAGAAGAAGAAGAATGAAAAGAAGAATGAAAAGAAGTAGAAGAAGAAGAAGAATGAAAAAGAAGAAAGAAGAATGAAAAGAAGAAGAAGAATTCCAGTACAGCAAAAAGTGTATCTGCAGAGAGCTCCGCTATTTCTGACAGTTCTCTGACAGTTCTGACAGTTCATTTACAGCGGTTGAAACATTGTATCTATTTATTTCCGAATAAAAAACATCTGTATCCTAAATGGAAACAAATAGATACAATGTTTCAACCGCTGTAAATGAACTGTCAGAGAACTGTCAGAAATAGCGGAGCTCTCTGCAGTGACACTTTTGCCGGCTGATCGGGGAAAATTCGATTTTTTTTTTCTTCTTTTAGTGCATCCGAAGTTTGCTAAAAATTCGGATTCGATGCATATCGAATTTTTCCTAATATTGAAACGAATTCCACTTCGCCAAGTTTGATTCGCTCATCTCTAGTAACCATGTACAGGTTCAAAAATGTTTTTTATTTGCTGGTGACAATTTTATGTTAACCCCTTGATTGGACATGTACAGAGGACCTTTAAAAAAATTAACACAAGATCAAATATCCCCAGATTCAAGTCCAAGGACAATGGTTCTGTGACTCTTTCTGGACCTAATCCTCAGCATTCAATATCTCCAGTATAATTATTCTCATTGAAACGTAGGGAAAGTCTTGGGAACACTCAGATGAATGATAACTATGATAGATCTTTCTGTTCAATCCACATGTACAGAGGACCTTTAAAAAAATACCCAAAATCAAATATCCCCAGATTCAAGTCCATGTCCAAGACAATGGGTTCTATCACTTTTTCTGGACCTAATCCTCAGCTTCAACCTATCTCCAGTATAATTTATTCTCATTGAATGTAGGGAAAGTCCTGGGGAACACTCAGATGAATGATAAACTATGACAGATCCTTCAATTCAATCCACATGTACAGAGAGACCCTTAAAATGAACCCAAGATCAAATATTTCCAGATTCAAGTCCATGTCCAAGACAATGGGTTCTATCACTTTTTCTGGACCTAATCCTCAGCTTCAACATCTCCAGTATAATTATTCTCATTGAACGTAGGGAAAGTCTTGGGAACACTCAGATGAATGATAACTATGATAGATCCTTCAATTCAATCCATAATTCTATATTACTGGCAATCCCAAATTAAATGTAAAGCTGTGGAATAAACAATGTCATGACCGAGAAACAAATACAGAGGACATTTCCTTCTTGAAAAACAAAACTCAAAGTTTATCTAAAGCCAACAACATTTTTTTGCATTTGAATAGAATAGTTAAAAAACTCTGTTTTTGTTTTTAGTCATCTATGCCCTATTGGGAAATCGCCTTCACCTATAATGCAGACACACACGACAGAACATGAATCTCCTCTTAGTTGTCATTGTAACAAATATCAACATTAGACAATTTTTACCATTATTCCTGTTCTAGTTGCAGCTCACAATTTAGTTTTTTTTTTTATGCCTTTAAAGGATAAGTTCATCTTTGGAACATGTTACATGTTCCTCCCATTTTTGGGGTGGAAAATATAACATGTTCCCATAGCTGCAGCTGCGTTCGCTCCCCCCCCCTCTAACAGATAGTATGGGAGAAAATTTCCCTGTACTATCTCTAAGATTTGAAAACAGCGCCGCCATGCGGTGCCTACATGAGTGCCTACAAGTCCTGGCAGCCCTTAACGGCTGTAGCTTGTAGTTTTCAATGAACTACCATGGCACTGTGGAATGCATTGGTAAGTTTATTGAAGCTTCCTGTCAGTATATATATGCTTGACCATACATACCGTATATCCCATACACCCCATACACCCCATACACCCCGTACACCCCATACACCCGTACACCCATACATTCCATATATCCCGTACATCCCATACACCCTGTTTATATCTGCTCTCCCCGGATCCTGCATTCACTATATCCGCTCTCCCCCTCCCCGGATCCTGCATTCACTATATCTGCTCTCCCCGGACCCCGCATTCACTATATCCGCTCTCCCCGGATCCTGCATTCACTATATCCGCTCTCCCCGGACCCCGCATTCACTATATCCGCTCTCCCCGGACCCCGCATTCACTATATCCGCTCTTCCCGGATCCTGCATTCACTATATCCACTCCCTGGACCCTGCATTCACTTTATCGCTCTCCCCCGGACCCCGCATTCACTATATACCCGCTCTCCCCGGACCCCGGGCATTCACTATATCCCCGCTCTCCCCTCGGACCCCGCATTCACTATATCCGCTCTCCCCAGACCCCTGCATTCACTATATCACGTTCTCCCCACCCCTGACCCTGCATTCACTAATATCCGCTTCTCCATGGACCCTGCATTCACTAAATCCGCCTCCATGGACCCTGCATT